CACACACACACACACACACACACACATACTTGCAGACGCGCGCACGTGCATGGGCGATGACGCCAAGAAGAAGGCCATGGTGATGAATAGGTCGACAATCGAGGAGGAGGAGAGAGAGGGGTGACGAGGAGAAAGTTGGAGGAGGGAGGAACGAGGGAAGAGGAGGGGAAGAGGAGTAGGGAGGACAAGGACTCGGACGAGGATAGAGGATGGAGGCTGGACGAGAAGAGAGGAGAGCGACGAGGACGGAGGAGGAGGGAGGAGGGCGATGCGCACGGATGGAGGAGGAGAGAGGAGGGCAATGAGCATGGACACACACACACACGTGTGCGCACGCTCCCCTTCGCACCGTAGCTGTATGCACTCCAACGCATCTATCACCGACGCTGCGGACTGGAAGACTCACTGCTGCACGTTTTTCGTGGCGGCGCGTGGAATGCCTAGTATTGCCTACCACTTTGAATTTGAATTCTCACCGCCACTGCTGAAAGGGCATCACAGAAAGATGTGTGCCCCTCGTGAGGGCATTTCAAGGACAGACCGACAAAACACCACCAGCGGTCCAGCATATGGGAAAGTTACGCCCCATGCTGACAGGGGCCTGCAGAAAATTTCAGAGGCCCGAGGGGCACCACAGGGTAATTCGGCCTTCACAGGGGCAAGCCGCAAATAAACGCAAACTTCGGGGGCATTTCGAAAAATTTCCCTTGCAATAATAATAATAATAATAATAATAATAATAATGATTAAAAAAAAAAAAGTTTTCTTTACAATTAAAAAAAAAAAAAAGAAACTTCCTTTTTGTTGTCCCCCCTCAAAATTCAAATTTCATTTCAAGAGGGGGGGGAACCTCGGCATCATCCACCTTAGGCACTATTCACAGACATTCTCATTTTCTGTATACGGGACGCTGGACCCGTTTCCCAGCAGGTGATGCTCCCCACCAATAGATGGAGCCTCTCTGTCTGCTCCTATCAGCAGCACTAACAAAAAAAAAAAAAAAAAAAAAAAGGTTACAGGCTGAAAGCCTGCGAGCTCGAAACTTCACAGCTGCAACCTATAGGCCCATGAAAGAAAATTTAAAGGGTAAAAACAGATCAGGAGTTCGACCCATACTCCTTATGAAGAACTTTCAACCCCCTTACGCCAACGGAGGTGACCAGCGCCGTGGTCCCATTAGCAAAGAGCATCGGATTGAATGCCTGAATCTGGACGTGTTTGAGGACAGGAGCAGGAAATCGAGATAGAACTGCTTTCTATCCCCTTCGCTAGTGGGACCGCGGCCCAGCAACTAAGGTCCGGAAGTCCGAACCCGCAACAAGCCTCAATACCCCGTAGCAGGGGCCCGGGGGGCTCATCCAGACCCCTTCCTCTCTCCCAGAAAAACAACACACCCAATTGCTAAAAAAAACGGTATCCATTCTTTTTTTTTTTTTTTTTTTTAAAACGGTATCCATTTCTTCAAAACCGCCTCGAAAAAAAAAAAAAAAAACAGAAACCTCGAATTTCCTAGAAAACCATTAATCAGTACACCATGAAAGTCCTCATCAGGTTCAGGGTACTGAGCTTGGCCCGTGGCTACAGCGGCCCATGATCCCTGTCCCAATCACTGTTAAGTGCGGTGTCTCTGTGACGACCATCGCCATATGGAGGGGACTTGGGTCGCAAACACTACTCCACCGCTGTCGTTAGATCTTTGGTGGGAATCCGATGGCAGAAGAATCGCCAAGTCAGCAATCGTGATGGAGATGGAGATGGCATAAGGTTTCGGGACTGCCAATGGGTATTTCGAATATTATTATGGTACGCCTCGAGGAGCCTCCCTAACGAGTCCCTATTACTTACTTAGCATTGGTCACCTCTACGGGCGAGCACAGGTGGTAATTTCCGGCCCTTACTCACTCACCCCGCCTCATCAATTATTTTCCTTTCCCGTTACTAACGTCTGCAATCCACGGATCGGGGATCTTCACTCCTCCTCACTTTGCGTACTGCCTTCCAATCTCCCTCCGTACCTCCATCAATCACGGTCTCTCTCTCTCTCTCTCTCTCTCTCTCTCTCTCTCTCTCTCTCTCTCTCTCTCTC